TAATTCAGGATTTACTTCTGTCTCCACGAGGGGGAGACAGCATACCTGACCTGGGTGCATGTGTATTACAATATTCAGGCCAGATGAAATATCTCTCCTGGGAGGGGAACTGGACTTTCAGGTATTTAAGAAGGAGTAGGAGAAGAGAAAGCAGTCCCAGTTATGGCCCAAGGGTTGAGAAATAGTGAGTTACCTCCTCTCCAGTGACTCCTTTCACTGAGGTCTGATGGCTGGAAGGAAGGCTAGGGTGGGAAAGACCAGGAGACCTGTGCCAGTGTCCTACAGTAGGCTGGTTTCTTTTTCTGATATAGTCATGATTATCCGGGACTCTTCCATGGAGAAGACAGTCCAGACAGAGAGCCCATGGACTCCTCAGCTTTACTAGACCAGCGGGTGAGATAGGTCTGATTGCTGGAGCCTCTACCTCAGGGTTACCTTTGCAATCAGGCCATGGTTCAGGGGTCTCTTAATTGTGTTGTGCTGTGCTGTGTCATGTTGTGTCTTTGAGACAGGTTTCACTATGAAGTTCAGGTTGGATTTGAACTCATTTTGTAGACCAGGCTGGCCTCCCACTCACAATGATCCTCCTGCCTCAGTCTCCCGAGTGCTGGGATTACAGGTGTGCAATACCTCATGCAGACAGTCATGATGGTTCTTTTTTTGGCCATAATTTTGCTGATAAACAAATAGCAATGAGACAGTTTCAAGTCAACTCGGTAGGATAGTTTCAATAATTAACACACTGCATACATTCTTCTTAGTGGTTAATTGCTGTACAAGATGTGGACTGGACATCCTATTTACAAACACCATTAGAACAAATCATTCTATTCATTAACAGAATGTAACTATACATCTATCCTAACCACCCTGAATACACAGATACAAAATGCACATTCATCTGTATACCCCTTTTTTTGTTAAGTTCCGTTATTTGAATATTATAGGTGTGTAAACTCAGCAAAATATTCTAAAAGAGTCCAGTAATCCATAATAGTATTGGGTCTTCCGCTTAACTGGCAGTGTCAGAAATTGTTGACCTGAGTCCCCCACATGATGGTTCTTATCACAATTTCTCCTAAGGGTGGCCTGGTTTCCTGCAGCAGAAGGTGAATTTAGTTGTCAAGCTCTTCTTGAGCCCTGAGAAGCAGACTTAGAGTCTATTCCTTGTAAGGCCACAACTTGTAAGGCAGCCATGTTCTTTTGGTCTCTTTGTTTTCTCCTCTTGGCCTCCTCCTAGCTCCAATTATAAAACACTGAGGAGGTGATGATTCTCACTGAAATATCAAGAGAGCTATCTGGAGCAAAAGCCATCTTTTGTAGCTTTTTCCTAACGTCCAAGGCTGACTGGATAATAAATTCATCTTTAAGAATAATCTGTCCGGGGCAGGGAGATGGCTCAATGGAATAAGCGCTTCCCTGGCAAGCGCAAGGGCCTGAGTTCAATCCCCGGTTCTGAAAAAAAAAAAAAAAAAAAAAGAATAATCTGTCCTTTCAAATCAGGAGCCAGGAATGTGTTTTATCAATGCTTCTTGTAAATTATTTAAGAAGGCAGAGAGGTTTTCATCTTTCTCCTGCTGAATAGTCAACAACTTAAAATAATTGAAGGGCTTAGTTCCCATTCTTCTTAGACCTTCAAGAATACATGTCTGAAGATGTCTCCTCTTTTATTCTCTTGTCTGGTTGGTGGGCCAGAAGGGATCTTGTGTAGGGAATGCTTGGGCTTCAGTAGGAACTGGATGCTCCCTGACTGATCTGTCTCCTGGTTTTCTTTCTTTCTTTCTTTCTTTTTTTTTCCTTTTCAAAGTTTTATTGATAAACATATAGCAATGAGACAGTTTCAAATCAAATCGAAAGTACAGTTTCAACAAATAATACACTGCATATATTCTTCTTAGTGGTTAATTGCTGTACAAGATGCAGACTTGTGATCCTACTTACAAACACCATTAGAAAAAATCATTCTATTCATTAAGAGAATGCAACTATATATCTATCCCAACCACTTTGAATACACAGATACAAAATGGACATTCATCGGTATACCCCATTTTTTCTAAGTTCCGTTATTGAATATTATAGGTGTGTAAGCTCAGCAAAATATTCTAAAAGAGTCCAGTAGACCATAATATCATTGGGTCTTCTGTTTAACTGGCAATGTCAGAAATTATTGACCTGAGTCCCCCACAGCTCAACATAACAACATGGCTTTACTTCCTATATTTCGTCTTCATACTTTTCTACTGGGTGGTTAAGACCAAGGTAAAGCAGAACCTGTGCAACAAGAGTTGTAGCTTTTAGGTCAGAGAAGGTCAGTGAAATGCCCTCAGGATTTATCCTGAGATCCTGTACCTCAGATTGTAGAACCTTTGTCAGTGTCAGCCATGTGGATGAGTCACGGCCAATGCTTGGCCAGTGTGCTCTCTGTGAAAGCCTGAGAGAGTGTCTTCTCCCCATGTGACTCTCCTTAGGCACACTCTACGTCATCGATCACTTTCCTCTTTGGCCCCATAATCTTCTTGATCAGAAAATTTGGGACACTACCGAGGTACATGACGTTACAGTACAAGTTCTCATATGTCCTGAGTCTTAATTGACCTTAGAAGGTTAGGGCCAAAATGTTGGCTTTCCTTGTAGCCCTCCTTTTTCTCTAATTTTGGTCTGCAAACTTAGGTTGTTAACCATCCAGAAGACAAGCTTATTGTTATTATCAAACGATTTAGGCTATCAAGCTTAACCTCACTATCTCACTGCATTTCAAACATCTTAGGCATAATAAGGAACAGGTATTTTTCATCAAGTATTGATATGTTGAACTTGAAGTCCCTACATAATATGATAAAAAACATTTAAAAATTAGATTATATTTTTAAAATAGGATAAAGAATTCTATGCTTCTCATGTTTGCACATAAGTCCAAAAATCTCACCATATACAACCTTGAAGCAGGACAGTCCCACAGTATTCCTTTTCCTGTCTCTTGCTTTCATTCACCACCCCCTATGTCTCCTGGTTTTCTGAAATTAACAATATGATGTCCATCTCCAAAGGGAATGGCAGCTTGAAGAGCTGCCTGACTCTCATTAGAAGTCAATGTTTGATTTAACTACAGGGAGCCAGGGAGATAGTTCAGTAGAATAAGTGCTTGCCTGGCAAGCGCAAGGGCCTGAATTCAATCCCAGGTTCTGAAAAGAAAAAGAAAAAAAAGAGCAACTACATCTCTTTGATCCAGGTTATAGGTCTGAATAAATCCCTCAAAGACCTGGATGTATTTATCAGGATCATCAACTTTTCCTTGATCTTGTTTGATCTGTTTGAGGTCACTGAGAGAAAAGGACACATGGACATGGTTATTCACCATTCACCTCCTGTAATGGAGACTGTCCTTGGGGAGCTTGCACAAAATCAGCTGAGGGTGGATATGGCCCAGTAGAGGCTTCAGTTATGGCGGGCTTAAAAACTCCACCCTTGAGATCCAAAGGAAAAGTGGCAGGGGACCTCAGGCTCAGCAATAGCAGATGAGGCTTTGATCAAGGCTGCCTTGGGAACCTCATCCTCAAGATCCGAATGGCCAGGAAGGGGAGCTTGTTTCAGGGATGGTGGATGTATCCCATTGTGCCTGGGGGGCCAGTGGTGTCTGGTTCTCCGTGCCTTACATTTACATTCTGAACACAAATAAGGACTATCTTAAGGCAAAAGAAGTAGAAATAGAAGGCAATTCTGACCATTTTCCCTCTCTTTCTCAGTACAGTTTGAACTGTGAAGTAGTATAATCAGTGCTTTCCTCTTCATTCCATTCTCCTCTAGCAGGTAAGCTGGCCATGAGCAGGGGCAGGAAGATATTAAATGGCTCTTTCTCAATGTGTGAGGGTCAATTTCCAGTGTTCAAGAATACATTCTAGAGGAGGAAGAGCATTTGACACTGAGTTCCCCATCTCCTTCCAGTTGTCTTGGTGAGCCCTCCAAGTGACATAGGGGCAATAAATGCAACTCCCAACCTGCTAGCGGTCTGATAGGCTGAGTTCATGCTCCCCAAAATTGAAGAATGAATTTTGAGAAGCAAGGGAGGTGAGGAGTGGGACATTTTATTGAGGGAGCCACAGCTCCTGAGAGAGACAGGAGGCCACTGGGAAGGTGGGTTGCCCCTGCTGACCTAAACTAACCAGTTTCTGGTAACTTGTTACAGCTGCCACAGGAAAGAGGAATGCAAGGGCAAAGGAAAGACTCATCGGTGGGAAACCCTGACCACTTAGATACCCAAGTTAACAGGATGAAGGTTTATCTCTCTGGCAAACTGAGTCATCAATGCCCTCGTGTGAGCTCCATTAACCCCCAACATTCAATGTTTTTATTAATAAGTGCAGCTATTTTACATGAAAATACAGGGGGGCAGAGGATAGCTCAGTGGAATAAGTGCTTGCCTGGCGAGTGCAAGGTCCTGAGTTCGATACCTGGTACCACCAAAAAGTTCAATTGAATGAAAATACATTTAACTTTAAGCTTTTTACTAATTACTTTATACATTTACTTCCCAATGGAATTCCATTTCATGTCCTTTTATACATAGATGACCATAAGAAATCCCTGGGTTCATAAACTAGCTCTTGGGAAAAACTGATCTCTTGTCTCCCCATTTCACAGATGAGAAAACTAAGGCTCAGATAGAGGCACTTTCTCATCTCCCAGAGATGCTAAATGAAGCTATAACTATTGTTCCAACTCCTACACAGCTACATTCATTCTTCCTCAACCTCCAGCAAACACTTCCACAAACGCCTTTTCCCACATCTGGGCAAGACTCAGAGACAAAGGGGAGTGCTTGTAGCTGGAGCCCTGCGACACTGAAGCTGCAGAGACCGGCACAGACAGGCACGCCGCAATGGCCGCCAATGGCCACAAGAGGGAGCGCGCTGGCTCCGGAGCTGGAACGCTCTTCAAGGGGCGGGAGCCGCAAACAGTGCGCATGCGCTGGAAGGGAGGCGGGGGCGCCAGCTTGTGAAGGGCGGGACGGTGGCCGAGAGGGCACCAGAGGAGGACGGTGGCTCGAAAGGTCCGGCATGGAGCACCTAGAGCGCTGCGAGTGGTTCCTCCGGTGGACTTTGGTGCGGGCGGCCGTGCGACGCTACCTGCCGTGGGCGCTGGTGAGCTCCATGCTGGCGGGCTCATTCCTCAAGGAGTTCTCTCCGCTGCCTGAGAGCTACCTCAGCAACAAGCGCAACGTCCTGAACGTGTGAGTGTGCCTCCTGTTGTGCCATAGCCTCACGGTGGCCTCGGCCGGGTGGCGGGGACTAGCCGCCGGGACGGATGACTTTGGAAGGGAAGCCCTTCCCACCGTGACAGCAGCATCTGCGCGAGTGTCGCCCCTCGGAGACCCGGGAGCGGCTAGCGTCACTGGCATTTTGTGTGTGTAGCTTCAGAGGTGGCAGCCCGAGTTTGACGGGGCAGGCGGTGAGGGGCAGGGTGTGCAGTGTCTGTGTACGTGGGAGTGCGGGCTGGGACTGGAGGGTGACCGGCCTCCCACTTCCCCTTGGAGGGAAACACTGCCGCTCCCGTTTGGGACATGTCACGCACGTCCCTCCTTTCGGCCTGTGTCGGATCCTCTCTGACAGAGCCAGTCATGGCCTTTTAAAGACCCCACTACCAGCAGCAGCAGCAGCACCCCACTACCACTGTCAGCCCTTTCATGAGCTGATGACAGAATCCCCACTCCAAGATACCGGCAGAGGAGTGAAACCCTCCAGTCTCTGACCTTTCCCTTGGATCTCCTTGGACCTTTTTCAGCGACCATAGTGCATGGCAATGGCCCAGGAAAGCAAACCCAGCTGGGCTTTTGGTGAAATGTCAACTGCACCCACTCACTTCTTTTCTTTTAACTTCTAGGCTGTAAATCTATAGCACAAAAACGCTGGTGCAGTCTTACAGGGAAACTGAAGTTGAAACTTCTCCCTTGATGTGAGCCCAGTTCCTCAGTAGTAGTGTCTCTAGAATCCCCTGGAAGTTAGCCCAACTTTGATTATCTGCTTAAACCCTGGTTTCTTTCCCAGGCAGCTCCATCAAATGCCAGTCTTGGCTCTGGCAAGCCCTTCAATTATCAGTGGCAGTGAGGACTTTAGTGACAGGTCCCTGGGCGGTGTCTGAGAAAGTGTTGGAACTTAGGAAAGAGGCACTCTGTCCTTGGCCCACCCTCTGTCCTCACCCACCCTGCCCTGCTGGGCTAAGAATAGATTATGAGAGTGGCTGTAGCCTCTCCCAGGTCTCTTCCCTGCGTGTTTCCTACAGCTGGCCCCCAGGCTGGCCACCTTTCATGAGCACAGGGGAGGCAGACCAGGGAGCTACTGCTTGGTCTGGGCTGGGTAAGCGTAGCCGGCATGGCACACGGGTCCCTGTTGTTTGGGAGTGGCCACGGATGCTGGTGTTTTGTTCCAAACTACTGTGCTAATGAATGGGAGGAAACTAGTGGTGAGTCAGTGGATCTGGAAGGGATTTTGAAATTCATTGGGTACCCTCAGCTTGATTGCACAGGGAACTGCTGCCTAGAGAGAAGCATGAACAAGTTAAGTCAGAGTCCGGTGAAAATTCTGTCTCGGTTAAAATCCTGGCTCTTCAAGCTTGAAATAAAGCTCCTTGTTCCAAGATGTTTTCTGCCATATAGGAAAGAACAGTGATATGGCAGAAAAACCCATAATGACGCGGGCTTGGGGATCGCCCAGAGCGCATTTTAATTTGTGCTTGCTGTGTGTGAGTATGCCCCTGGGCAAGGAGCTCAGTTTTTCTGAAGTTCAAGATTCTGGGCTAAAATGAGACAGATAATTCTGTACCTTTTCCAGGCAATTGTGTCCTCTGGCAAGTAAATGCTTGTGAAAGGTGCTGGCATTGGGTAGATGCCCAGCTGTTATTGCTCCCCTCAGCAAATTCACAGTGTTAAAAACAAGACTATAGTTTTAAACTCCAGCTCCACACTTAAGACCTCTATATTGGCATTATGTTTCTGTGTGCCTCAGTTTCTTTATCTGTATAAGAGGGCACCTTGTGGTTGCACCTGCCTTGTAGCATTAAAGACTAATTTCACTTAGTAAGTGAAGCACATAGTAAGGAATGAAAACAGAATAGCTGGTAGGATTTTT